ACAATTCGGCAACATTTGTGTGATGAATGTGGCCCACCTATATATCATCAGATAATTATTTACCTTTGTTCTCGGCATTTAAATTTCCAAAACGTCCATTGATGCAGATATGAATGATGTTATTTTAATTTTATGCTAACAATTACTTTACAAAGCGTTAAGAGGTTTTGCCGTTGGCTGAGAACGGCACATGTAATGCATGAATGATACAAGTGTTCTTGCGTTAACACTTCGGATTCTTCGGCAACCGATCTGCTATTAGCGACTCCTTGACATACATATTTTTATATAGCATATTACATATACATATGTGTATATCAATAATATATATAACTGTTTTATTTCCTATCCTGAAGCTATCAATTGCAACCTATTAAAAACATATCAAATGATTTGGTTTTCGATAACTTGGTGATGTGGTACGTACCTTTAAACGTTTATCCATTCTGGAGAAGAACACAAAATGCCTATAAATGTTTATAGTTGGGCTAACTTTTTTATCCCAAGTTATAGTAGTGTTTTTGGCATTGATGCAACAAATTAAAAAATAATTACAAGTGAAAATAAAATATAACGCATTATAAAAGGAAAAAATAATTAAATAAATATATTCTTCTGTTTAAATAGTCTTCTGTTATAGAACACCTAGTCAGTCTAATTACTATTCAACATATACAAAAAGGTAGATTGTAGGTCTTCACTTATATAATTTTTTTCAAATTAGTGAAAGATATCAAATTATAGCAAACCCAAAAGGTGCAATGCAGAATCAAAAATGATTGAAGTTTCTTATTTATAAAAAATTCATAGTTTGTTATTACGATTGTCTTCATATTTAGATTGACTATTTTGGAATTATACTTATTTGTATGTTCCAATTTAAAGAAAGAATATCAAGTCCATTAATTTGATAATTTTAAATAATCACAACTTTTATGTATTATTATCAGCAGCAATTAATTACAATAAGTATACTATTTCATCTTTTATCATTACTAAAGCCAGAATTATAATTGTGTGCAATGGGTTTTTAAAATGATTCTAAATCATTTGCAAAACTTAATGAGCGATATATAATGATTTTTATCTATCTAAACAAATCTAAACAGTGAAAGTGGTCCATATGGGTCCATGACAACTTTCAAGGGGTCCACATCAACGGATATGGACATCAATAGTCGATCTGTCGATCACAACAAATCTTGTAAATATTCTTTTATTATTATTATAAAGTAGATTAAAAAATGTCTTAACTGGGTTAGTATCTTCACTTTAACTATTCAATAAACGTTAGTACAAATATAAAATTATAAGAAAATCGATATCGGCTTATTTAGTCCTTATAAGGGTCCGTGGCAAAGTCTGAGGGGTCAAGGTCCAGGAAACTTATTGTTTAGATCATTTTTAATTATTATTTATGTTTCCATCAAAATTCAAACAAATGCAGTTAACTACCGTTTTTCACAATAATTATTACCAGTATCCTCCTCAGTATTTCTTCAGAACTAGGAACAGTCTTAAATAAAAAAAAATATTTGAGATTGTTTCACTCCATATAATACCATTATTTTATTATCTTCACCATGTTCAAAAAATTGGATTTAAACTTGCATAGGATAGAGCGGGGCACAAAGATCCAATTTAACTTCGAGCAATTATATTGTGAAAATCAATCAATGATATTACAACAAATAACATATCAAAAAAACAACTATCTAACTATGTTCAGTAAAACTCCCATCTAAATCTCCTTGTAAAAGGTTTTTCGCTGTTTTCAAAAATTGTTACCTGTTTCCTTTTACCCCGTAGGCGGGATTAAAATGTGACGTCGAAGGGACAAACAGGTCCGATGCTTATTTTTAATTTCAAAGGAATTTTACGAAATAATAGCTACATTATCCAAACCAATACAGAATATGAGTTTTATGAGTATATTTTTACAGAGATAACACTGCATATACCTTGATCTGGTATTTCGTCAGATATTCATCAGCAGAGTTAGAATAGCTTTTTATTAATAATCTCTTGTGAAAATTCTTTTTAAACTTACACCTTTGCCAGGATATAGGCTTCAGTTGGTCCTTTTTTCTCGCTCATTGTAAGCTTTTATAGAGATTATATAAAGAAACTGTTGAATCTAACTCAAAACTAACGATAAATCTCACAAAACAATTAAACAGCGTATACTTATAAATTATATATGGTCTCGTAAACTAAACAACAGTGCTCACAACCAGACGAGCTAACAACGAAAGAAAAAAATACTTTTGTTATGGATTTTCAAACATTGACTTTTATCTTCTGTAACACCTTTTTTTAAAGCAACAAGGTGAGGGCTTGTTATACGTCTTTTGCGCTCTACTTTCAAATATTGTTTTAAAAAAATTCTTAACTTTACTTGTTTTTGAGATATCGGTGGTGGATCTTTTTTACCGCAGACCTTTAAGCCCCGCTCTTACCCTAGAACTAGAAAAATATGTACTTCTGCACAAAGGAAGTCAAGATATCAAGAAAGTTCTTAGATGTATACTAAATACAAGTCTGTAAAACGAAAAAAAAATCTAATCTTAATAAATTATGACTTTACAGATGATTATCTTTAATTAATAGCAAATCGTAACCAGTTTTAACGTTAAGCTATGTTTTATACTAAATATTTGTGTGTGTCTAATTCAGCTTTTAATGACTACCTTAAACTATATATTAATAAAGTATTAGTCAACTTTGTAATAATTTTTTATTTTTTTCTGATTTAGTTGTTTTATACCAAACATATATATTTACTGCATATATTGAATATTTTAAATGTATAATCTTAATAAAAATAAGTTATCATTTATACTAAACTTGAATCAGGAAAAGAATTATTTACCTATTACCGTGGTTAATATGTTATCATCTTCTGCAAGGTAAATAATTATTTAAAAATGCAAATACATATTCATAAAACTGGATTTTTCGACATTTTGATCTCCGAATTTTCAATAAGATCAACATTCTTTTTTAACCTTAATACTCGTCCCGTACAGTTAAGTCAATTCTGGGTCATTGGTAAACGATTCTAGATTTATAAAAAAGTTATAAAAATAGAATCCATCATAATATAGAAAATAGAGGTAATATTATATCAAAATATACTAAGAACAAATATCGATAAAAACCATATTAATATGTAAAAATAAACAGAACGTTGTGTTTGATATTTTACTTAGAAAGTAAATCCATGTTGAAAGTCGAGTTTTTTCCTCGAGTTACTATACAATTACTTTTCTTACTATTTGTTTTGGAATCCAAACCCATTGGACCATTAGACAAATCAAAACAATATTTTAGTGCTAAATAATTTAGTTGATTTATGATTTTTTATGCATGAGTACCATCGGTAGTGGTAGTTGGTTTTTGTAAGACTCTCGTTTTCTAATATTTCAAATGTCAAAGAAAAAAAATTTAAATACTAATAATTATACCAAATGTTGCATCAATTGATATTATAAATTATTTATAGAAGAAAAATTTAAAAGGTGTAGGCGTCCTATTAGTCTGCCATACAATTAGAATCAATTGAACCATTATTTGATGTTCCAACAATCTAGCAATAGGTAAATTTAGGTAGATTCATAAGGTCTATGGGTAAATTGCAATATATGATCAGTTGCCAATTGTTTTTTTTGCAAAAGTGTCATATTTTACGTCAAAAAATGTGCAATAATTCAAAAATAGTTTAGTATTACGATTTTTCTAAATAGATTGTGACCATGATTGTTGGAGCGTGCGATGTAGAATTGCATATCTGGTGAAGCGTAAGATATGAATATAAATAAATACATATAAATATAATTTATACAAGTATATATATATATATATATATATAATATATAATTATATATTTAATTACCTATATATACAAACCTATATCGTTTATATGTGTTCTATATATACGTCTAAATAGACTGTATTATTCATAATAAAAAAAAACAGCACGTAGAATATTAATTTCAAAGCATGTCCTCGAGATTTCTCTTGAAATAATAATGAAGAAATACATATATATACACACATTTATTATAATTATTCACATACTGCATTTTAATTTTTAGCAATTATTTATGATAGTCCATACTTGAATTTATTATAAATTATTATTTGTTATTGTTTTCTTTATTTCAATTGTTTGGTTTGTAACAATTGTGGGGCACAAAGGTTCTATTTGACTTTCAGCATTTATATTGTGAATATCAAACAAACAACTCTCTGACTATGTTCAGTAAAACTCCATGAGTGAAGTTGCATTTTATGTATAAAACGCCTGATTGCATAGCGAAAACATGGCATTCTGTCAGTATTTAGTAGCAATTTATATGAAAACTGGAACGTAGCCTTGCTATAACATTGGTCTATTTTACGACAGAATCGTTCCACCAATAAAACATATATACATATGTACCTATATAATGATTATAATAATCTTGTTATTGTATGGAAGTACTATATATTTTTAACAGTTATTTTTGTATTTTGCGTGCATAATAAATAATTAATGTTTAATTAAATGTATCTCTATATATTATTCTCTTTTCTTCCAGATCTGATACCAAGACCTCTACAATTAATATTTGGCATTCGAGATGGATGGCCAAACTGGCTTAGTGCTGGCCTTGCAGCTGATAGCACTGTGTTCCATAGCTGGAGCCCTTTTGCTGTATCTATTATGCAAAGTTCGAGGTGGTTCCATAAATGGCACCACACAGGCACCACCAGTTGTCATGGCCACAGGCGGCGGCGCTGCGGTTCTGGTTACATCGGCTGACACTGCGTTAGGATTACAGGTAATAATAATATATTATCATCAAAGTCATAGTAGTAATAATTTAATAATATCAGTATACTTTTATTTTTAAAATGTGGAGATAAAAAATTTAAAAAAACTATTAATTATAGTCACGAAAAATAACTAACTAGGATGGGACAACTACTGGGTTGCCTTCCATAAAGCTAATATATCGAAATAATTATTGAATGTCCTTGTAGTATAGATAGATCATAATTTAAAAACAGGAAAAAATACAGTTGCTCTCCTCATCTTCTCTTTTTAGAAGTAGTGACTCTGTTTCTAGAAGAAGTGACTCTGTTTCTAGAAGAAGTGACTCTGTTTCTAGAAGTATTGACTCTGTTTGTAGTAGTAGTGACTGTTTCTAGAAGTAGTGTCCTTTTTTCGAGAAGTAGTGACTCTTTTTCAAGAAGTAGTGACATTTTTTGAGAAGTAGTGGAATTTTTTCTAGAAGTAGTGACTCTGTTTCTAGGAGTAGTGACTCTGTTTCTAGAAGTAGTGACTCTGTTTCTAGAAGTAGTGTCTCTGTTTCTAGAAGTAGTGATTCTGTTTCTAGAAGTAGTGACTCTATTTCTAAAAGTAGTGACCCTTTTTCGAGAAGTAGTGACTCGTTTTCGAGAAGAAGTGACTCTTTTTCGAGAAGTATTGACTCTGTTTCTAGAAGTAGTGGCTTAGTTTCTAGAAGTAGTGGCTCAGTTTCTAGGAGTAGTGACTCTGTTTCTAGGAGTAGTGACTCTGTTTCTAGAAGAAGTAACTCTGTTTCTAGAAGTAGTGACTCTGTTTCTAGAAGAAGTAACTCTGTTTCTAGAAGTAGTGACTCTGTTTCTAGAAGTAGTGACTCTGTTTCTAGAAGTAGTGACTCTGTTTCTAGAAGTAGTGACTCTGTTTCTAGAACAAATGACTATTTTTCGAGAAGTAGTGACCCTTTTTCGAGAAGTAGTGACTCTGTTTCGAGAAGTAGTGACTCTGTTTCTAGAAATAGTGACCTTGTTTCTAGAAGTAGTAACTTTTTTTCGAGAAGTAGTCACTCTGTTTCTAGAAGTAGTGGCTTTTTTTCGAGAAGTAGTGACTCTGTTTCTAGAGGTAGTGACTCTGTTTCTAGAAGTATTGACTCTGTTTCTAGAAGTAGTGACTCTGTTTCTAGAAGTAGTGACTCTGTTTCTAGAAGAAGTGACTCTGTTTCTAGAAGAAGTGACTCTGTTTCTAGAAGAAGAGATTCTGTTTCTAGAAGAAGTGACTCTGTTTCTAGAAGTAGTGACTCTGTTTCTAGAAGTAGTGACACTATTTCTAGAAGTGGTGACTCTATTTCTAGAAGTAGTGACTCTGTTTCTAGAAGTAGTGACTCTGTTTCTAGAAATAGTGACTCTGTTTCTAGAAGTAGTGACTCTGTTTTAGAAGTAGTGACTCTGTTTTTAGAAGTAGTGACTCTGTTTCTAGAAGTAGTGACTCTGTTTCTAGAAGTAGTGACTCTGTTTCTAGAAGTAGTGACTCTGTTTCTAGAACAAATGACTATTTTTCGAGAAGTAGTGACTCTGTTTCTGGAAGATGTGACTCTGTTTCTAGAAGTAGTGATTCTTTTTCAAAAAGTAGGCACACTTTTTCGATTGTGCCTAGTTGCAGACTTCAAATGTGAATTTTTTAATTGTAATAGAACTTATAGTTCCACCGATTTGTCTCAAGACAAAATGCTATATACGACTAGTTAGAATATTAATTGTAAATTTTTATTTCAGATATCAACGCACTTAGCATCGCGTGGCTACAAAGTATTTGCAGGATTGAAAGATCCGGTCGACAGCGTCGCTGCGAAACTATTGCGAAATTGGCTCAAAGCTAGGGAAATGGAAATGGTGAGTAAATTAATTCAAATGTCACATGCAACTTATTTTTAATCCCTCTAATAAACGAGACTGAGGCAAATGGTTTCATGATAAAATAAATATAAAGGTCCAAAACATATAAAAATGAACTGGTCAATATTTGACTAGGGCTTTTTCTATTTAACCTGGAACCCTTTGAGGGATGGAAATATAAACGAATTTTTATGATTAGGTTAACATGCCCAAAAAATAGATCTATTTTCAATTCCAATAATAGAAGACATTAAAATAGAAACTAAATACTATTGACATAAATCAATCCTAATTATAAACTATTGACTTGGACATGATAATTAATAACCTGAGTATATTTATTATTAACTCTCGAAACTCAATTAAGTTTCTAGCAATATCTGCCATACATACATATATACATAATTCATATATATGTACATATATATATATATATATATATATATATATATATATTTATATAAATATATATATATAATATTTATAATTTTATATACATATAAATAATTATATGTGTATTGAGTGAAAATGCAAATAATTAAATGAAGTCATACACGCAATATGACGCATGGAAAAACTAATTAAACGTTTACACGCATTTATACTTAAATGCAAATTTGTGAAATCACATAAATACATATGGATTGTACATTTATTACTTTATTTGTACATGGTATATTGTATAAATGGTCTTTACTTTAGGGGGAGTGCATTAATCACGTGATCGATTTTTTGAGGATTTTTTTACCCTCTTTTCCTCTTGATGATACATTGGGTTATTCAAAATTAACCCCCGCCTCTCCCCCATCAAACATTACGAAAAAAATGTAAAATTTTTACTTGTTTTTAGAATGTTTGGATTTTTTTAGAAAAAAATCAGGTAAAAAATATATACACGTGATATCTTACTATACCCCTCTCTCCCCCACGTGATTTTTTGTGATTTTTGTCAAACCTCCCCTACCCCTAAAAACCTCACGTGATTAATGGACGTCCCCTTCCTTAGAAAATTCTAAATCTGAATTCTCATTGATTAAGTAGATTATGTACACATATCTAAAAGTTTATTAAGACAACTTGCTTAAGGCAGATTGCCACTTACAACTAGTTTTTACAGATCGATGAAAATAAAAACATATCTAGTTTTGAAACGAGATCAAATATATAGTTTTTGGTGGTGATAAGATTTTGCTCTACGTCTCGAACTAGTGCAAGATGTCCTTAGCATCTTGTAGTAGTTTTCTGTGAAAAATCGACAAATAAATCAGTAAAATAAGAAAAAATGGTGTAAAGAAACCTAGTTTTGAAATAAGTACTTGTACTTATGTATATCTATTTTTCCAAGAAGTATCTGCTACCAGTTTATGACTAATTCCAAGTCATATAATTTTCTTCGTACGTGATAAACGTGTGTACTAAACTAAATCGTCTAATTACCATTTCCCGCACTTGTAGTTCTCGACAGCATTTTTTATGGAATTATTAATATGATCTCAGATCACGATATAAAGTGAGATTTCCTCAGTAAAATGTAGGCAGAACACGCTCAAGTTGTTTATTAAAAAAGCAAAAATCTTGGTAAAAGATTACACGGATGGATTTCTAAATTTTTAATGTATTCAACTTTTTCTAGATAATTGGATAATTGATTTACGGAAAGTAAATGAGTTATGAATAGAAAAACAAAAATTTCATTAAATTTGCACTATCGTACTACTTATTTAGTTGTTTATTTATATTTTTATACATTTTTATTGTGTTTAGTTCATTAGTTATGTCTTTTTTTATTTGTTGTTACAATTCACAATTTATACTCATTTACCTCATACATCATTTTATTTTTAAGTTTACTCTATATAATCACAATATTTAAATTCAATATATCAAAATTGAAAAGGCTTACTGCTGGGTAATTTTTTAGATCTAATGTTTAATATTTCATATATCATCAAAATTACTGAATGTCTTCCTTTTGGTAAAGACAGATTGTAATTCAATAAAGAGAAGAAAAAAAAAATTGCACTATCACGATAAAATAAAATGCGATAAATTAGGTAATAGTAGTTCAAACGCAATATTTTGAATATCATCTTACTCCATTCATGGAGCGTTTGTTGTGCAGTGTTAAGAACCTTGGCCTTGCAACCAGAAGTGGGTCCCAATCCGAAATCCGCCCTACAACTTGATATTATAACCAGTCGTGAAACTCTTTTTTTGAAAATATTGACTGGAATATGTTTCGAAATGAGAATATGAGAATATGTGCTTTCTACTTATTTGAAATTTTACTATTTTTTGTTTTAAATTTTTTTATCCACGTGGTTGTGATATTCTAGATTCAATTCTTCTAGGGGTCAACGTTTTATCCAGTATGATGCAGTTCAGATCATGTAAGGAGTTCATAAAATAATTATATGTTCAACATAAATATTTAGTTTGATGCACGACTTTGCTGTCTGAATATCCTGACTTCCACGTAATGTATACAAATACACGAAGTTAATTTTAGATCAGGAAAATTTCTTGGAACAGAAATACTGTATGTATATACAAGCGACTCCATAAAATGTAGGGCGTTGTAATTCACTTACGATTAGCACTCGGACGTTATGTGACGAAATGATCTTGAACAATCTATTTAGCAAGATGGATTTCAAGAACGGTATATAGTAGGAAAAAATAGAGTGATATTGAACCTTAGGTGAAAAAACTCATTCTGTAATGGTATTGAACATTACGGAAAGTTCAACAATGTTGACTAGTTGAACTTTCAGTTTAGATGCAAGTTGTTTCCTTTGTATATTACCATCCCAGAATAGTTAGCATTTGATATTCAAGATCAAAACTCAAAAATTTGCATAAAGTTAAAATCATTTGACTAGAGTTAAGAATAATAAAGAGTGATAGTTTTGCAGAACTCAGTTTTATGAAAAAATTATTAATGCGGTGGTAGTTTGTAAAAACAATTTGAAAATTAAAAGTCGATGTTTGTGATGCTAATTATAGGTCAATAAGGAACCATTTTTCTGCACTTTTCTTTTTATCTCCAAGACTGTTACGTCTGCCTTTTCAAAAAATTGCTATTTGTATCAACAGTATATATACAGTATGAGTTTATGTTAAATCACATTAATATCGTCTAATTTTTCTTCCAAAAACTTATACTTTATACTTTTCTTATGATACACATACTACACTCATATGAGTTGTTTATTAGATTTTTTTTAGTATAAAACTATCAAGTATTATATAATTTTACAAACCTAAATGATTGTGCCAACTTTTAGTAGAACTTGCCAACACACTTCAGTACATTTTTTTAAGGAATTCTTCACAAACTCGGTCGATTTTCACACTTTTAAATTCATGGTTCAACAAAATGTCTTAATTCTTGAAAAGTTTGAGCTAAAGTGTCATTGCTTATGACTGTGGTCCAGAAAATGTTACTTTCTGTTACAGTTTCAAAGTTTAAATGTACAAAATTAATAAAAATTAACCACAATACCAAAAAATGATCATATTGTCTCCAAAACTTTAAGTTGCACTTAATATATCATAATTTGTATTACTTTTAATACTTTTTTATGATAGTTATGTTCAATACTATTACCTTGTTTTGGCTTGACTTTGAATTTTGGGACACCCTGTATATTGAATAAATGAATCCTGGATTTTTTAATGAATGGATTACGAACATTTTAATAGTTATTAATTTTTCATTGTATTATTTTATTAACACGTTAATATTATTTTAACTCGCATTAGTTTATATACAAATATGATTTTCACAAATGATTTTGATATTTCTCTAAATAAACGACGTATCAGTTTGCCATATCTTTTATATAAAATGGAACTCGGTATTATCTGTTAGGTATGCTAAGGCTCTAAAACGGCTGTCAAGATTTGGCCAGTTTTGGTCTTAAAATATTCGTGCTAATCCAGATGTTGAGGGAAACATGGGATATTATTTCAAAACCGCATAGAAACTTTACATTTTTAATTTAAAAATTTTTGTCGTAGCGTAATTCAAAATGATACAATGGACGGCGGCTCATACGTCAAATATCAAATGTTTTTGACAGATGATGTTCAATTAAATTTAATAGGATTTTTTAGATGAATATTACTTATTTGTAGTAAGTAGTTTTGTTTGTAGATTTATTTACACACAAAAAAATAATTTTGGGTAAACCATCCATTCAATTTTTGTTAGTTGCCTCTTTCAACACACTCTTCCGCATTCATAATCAGTTAGATATTTTTTATACTAAGTATTTTCCTAGAAATATTTTTTATGGCTAAACAATATTTGCTGGTCCAGATAGTAAATAATAAATAAATAAAATAATAAGTATTCAATAGTATGAGTAAATAGTAATAGAACCTAACACATTTTAAAATTTATTTAGTCTATATATAATTAAATTTCAATATATAAACAAATAAAATATATTTAAACCCCAATAAAAAGATTATAATAAGGTACAGTTGCATTATTCTCTTTGAATATATTTCTGACAAGGAACATATATCTTTCAAACCATTTGCTCGTTATGGTTTCGATTTCGTTGGTCATTTTTAGATCAAGAAAAGATTTGTGACTGATATTTGTTATCTTTCCATTGTTCTAGTATTTAAAGAACTATAACGAAATATTTATGAGAGTTTCTACGGCCTATTGTTGTTGAAACGCATTAAAGTGCATTCGGCCTTAAACGTTGAAGACGAATGGTCTTGCATTACATTATTTTACAATCATAGAATGAGTAAAAAAAATTTGATTAAACGATTTGAAGCAACGATTGTGGCACTTTCTAATTAGATCGTAATTAGATAGACATTTGCACAATTTTTAATACCAAGAAATAAAGATAATATAGGGTTGCCATAACAACGCTATATTAGTGGCTGTGTTAACACAGAATTGGCTCCTTAATGTTGTCATTATGTAAAAGCCAGCCGGCTGTGTTATACTTAGCAAATATTTGATTCATATTTAACTTTATTACCTTCTTTGGAGAATTTGACTCCAATGCAAGAAACTATAAACAAATTATGTGCCTTCTATCAAAATATTCAATTATTATTATTTTCCAGGAAAACAGCGTCAATCCTAACCCGAGTACCACGGGTACCATCATACCCTTGCACATAGACGTAACCAGGGAAGACGTCTTAAGGGAATCATCTGATTGCGTTGCAGGACATTTGCCTGCTGGTGAACGAGGCATCAGGGGAGTCATCAACACGGCTGGAGTCGTTCACAAGGGACGAGTAGAACATCAGGACACCGTTCTTTGGGAAAATATGCTCAGGACAAATGTATTAGGTAATAGTCATTTTGGTAAAAAATTATAATTCTTTTATCTGGAACATTCTAGAAGGTAGAAAACTTTATCTCGGGGTCATAAGGTAGGCCATTCATCAAATAACACAGTGCCCAAGGTAAAGGTTTCTTAGATAAATAAGAGGAGTTAGAAGGGACTCCAAACATTTTTTCGAATCGTAGTTGTTCCAAGTTTGAAACATAAAAACCAATATCATCAATACAATATTAATATATCTTAGATAGATATTGACCTGAAACTTTTGGTCCTTTATGTTCATTTTATGGATTTGTTGATGGATGAAGTTTATAACTAAAGTAATTAAATACGAAGTCAGCCTTATCTTAATCGTTCTCTTAGTTGTTTTCGTTGGGTATTTATTGTATTTATTGTCAAAGTCAAAGTTACAAATTGCATCTACTTTCTACAAAAGAATCTCTGTAAAACTTTATCTCATTTCCCAGGTTGTGTTCGAGCAGCCCGAGTATTCACCCAACTCCTGCGTCCAACCAGAGGTCGTTTCCTGACCATAGGAGGAACTCCAACCATCTCTCACCCTCAACCCTTACCCAGCGACCTGCAACAAGGTGAAGGCCTCGTGGTCTACAGTGCTTGTCTACGAGCCATCGAAGGTCTCACCAACTCCCTTCGATCCGAACTGGGACCTTGTGGAGTAGATGTCATCCAACTGAGACCAGACTACATAAAAGCTGAAAAATTATATGGTCTTCCTCAAAGGAATAATGTGGTGGAGAACAGAGCTGGTGAGCAACCAGTGGCTCAGTACACTGCCAGTGTTTTGGGGCCGAATGGTTTGAGGAATATTGAGAGGGCTTTATGCGATTTGAGACCTCAGGAGTTTTATTCTTTGGCGGAGAACAAGAAGAATAATCTTCTTATGTGGGGAGGTCTGAAAAGCCCTTGGGGTCGCAAGACAAAAAAGAATGAACAGGGTACTGAAGCGCCAACGATTAGTGTTTAAGGTTAAAAACTAAGGTTAAGTTTTTTGCATAGTGTGAAAAATTTCATTTGAAAAATAGTTTTACCACTATTTATTTTTGCATCATTTTTGAAATTTTGCATGGCTATGTGAAGTTTGTAAAAAAGTTTTTGGATGTGTAATACAGAAGTCGTTGACTTAGGTGATTTATTATCTTGTTGTTTTAACAAATATATTTTCTATACAATATTTTTATTATTAGACGTTTTTAATGATTTTTTTTAAACAACATAAAAGTCAGTGTTTTACGTTTATTGTATTTTGTTGTGATTGTAATAATTTATGCCATTTGAGTAGTCACAAAATATATTTAAATTTGTTTTCTAAATATTTGAGCTAGAATATAATTGCGACAAGCTTTATTTAATTTTAGGTATTGCTTTAAAATATAAACCAAAGGTTTTATTGAAAGCAAGTCCCAAGTTTGTTGTTTTTTTGATATATCATCTGTTGAGATATGGGTCTTCACGATTAGAAAATTAGTTTTAATTTTTAAATATATAAAAAATGATTCGAGTTTTAAATATTATATTATACCAATTATTTAAATTTCGACGACTTCTGAACTATTTACTATTTAGTGTATTGAGCTCAATTTTTGGTAGTTCAGTACACTATTTGCTTTCTATATGTATGAATGTGTTTGAATGATTTTTAATTATATATTTAGTTTGTTTAATCAATGTATATAATATTATTTAATAGAATTGTGCCTTTGATAATTCTAATAAATTAATAGAGAGTTCTCATTATTACCAGCTTGTGCAGAAAAATATATTTAGATATTGAAGTATAAGACAAATTTCTCTCAAATTTTCCTCCTGATTATTTCTAAATGACAAATATTTAGAATAAGCGTTCAGATGGTATAAATAACCAAAAGTATTTTATAAATGATGATTGTTTCAGGTATTTTTAAAGCATTAAGAAACAGTTTTAGTAAATTACTTTTTATACAATACTGAGAGTTATTTAGTAACTAATAACAATGACGTTAACTTTTAGTAATTCAGAATCGATTTTTTTGTCCAAAGTTGTTTTGCTCTGAATATAAAAATTTAATATTAACAAGATATATATTTTTCATGATAGTAAAATTTGATTAATAAAAAATGTACATTAAAACATGTTTATACATGAATCCCTATCATCAGTTGAAGATGCAAAAACAGTTATTTGAATTCTTTTAACATTCTGGGTTTTTAATATTATTTTTATCCAGTTTATCAAATATTTGCTTGTAAATGTGTGTGAATAAGTTTCTGATAGGAATCAAATAACCGTAAAAATGTGCTTGGTAAAGGACTAATAATCTTCTAAATTTATATATATATATATATATATATATATATATATATATATATATATATTATTTGTAAGTTGTACATAATATTTTATAATACCAATATGTCATATTATGTAGGTGTAGGCAGCCTATGTATAAAATACTTTTGCTATATTTGTTATATGTTACTAATAAATATAAATACTCAAATATAATATTTTAATTATATCAACAGAGTCACCAACGAATAATTAATGAATTAGAATTTTAGAATTTTTGGATAAGAGTATTTCTTCCATAAAAGAGTATTTTTTCCATAGTCTAATAGAAATAATGAAAACTTACAATATTTAATATACAACATTCTAATAATTTCATTTTAGTTGTTTCTAGATATGTGTAATTTTTTATTTATATTTTCTAGTATTTTGCTTCATTTTTCACTTTTGAAAATTTAGTCTGTATTAGGATTATTTTGTTAATTTTTCTCATACAAATCAGTTTTGATTATGATTATTTACTTTAAACTTTTTCAATTGAATAGTTAAACATAGTTGTATCATACAACGAAAGCAGTACAACAAAAATAAATTGACAAAACGTTTATTTTTATATCCAGTATGACATATCTTTAATTATAATAAAATGTTAGCTAAACAATTATACTTTCAATGATTAAAATATGCTTTTAATTGGAATTTCCAACAATTGCGGTCCAGTTTCATTTTCCAATGGACTGTGGTGTCCTGGTCCGTCGTGTCCTGAACCATGGTGTCCAGATCCATGGTGTCCCGACCCATGGTGTCCTGATCCATGATGACCCGATCCATGGTGACCCGATCCATGGTGTCCCGATCCATGATCAGGTTTATGAGGAGGCCAGTGGTGTCCTGGTTTGTGGGTCGGCCACCAGTGTGGAGGCCAGTGATGTCCGGGCTTAGTTGGTTTGCTGGGCCGAGTTGGGTGTGTTGGCTTCGATGGCTTATGAGTAGGTCTGTGAGTGGGCCTACCAGGCTTGTGTGTGGGCCACCAGTGTGGAGGCCAATGGTGTCCTGGTTTGTGTGTAGGCCACCAATGTGGAGGCCAATGGTGACCTGGCTTAGTTGGCCTTGATGGCCAATGAGTTGGCCTAGTGGGTCTGTGAGTAGGGCGTGTTGGTCTATGGGTTGGGCGAGTCGGTCTTGTAGGTCTGTGAGTTGGGTGGGTAGGCTTAGTGGGTTTGTGAGTGGGGCGAGTTGGCCTGGTAGGTTTATGTGTTGGTCTAGTAGGTCTGTGAGTTGGTCTATGTGTTGGTCTGTGGGTTGGTCTGTGAGTTGGTCTATGTGTTGGTCTGTGAGTTGGTCTGTGAGTTGGTTTATGAGTTGGTTTGTGTGTTGGCTCTTCAGTAGGTTTATCAGTTGGCTTATCAGTGGGTTTTGGTGGTGGCTCAGTCTCAGGGCTTTCGGTTGGTTTATGGGTAGGTTTTTCAGTAGGGGCTGCGGTTGGCTTTGCTGTTGGTTCATGAGTTGGTTCCTCAGTAGGTGCCGCCGTAGGTTTATGTGTTGGCCTTTGTGTTGGTTCATGAGTTGGAGTTTCAGTAGGAACCTCAGTAGGTTTTGCTGTAGGTTTATGAGTTGGTTCTTCAGTAGGTGCCGCAGTAGGTTTATGTGTTGGCCTGTGTGTTGGTTCATGGGTGGAGTTTCAGTAGGAACCTCAGTAGGCTCTGCTGTAGGTTTATGAGTTGGTTCTTCAGTGGGTGCCTCTGTAGGTTTATGTGTCGGCTTGTGTGTTGGCCTATGGGTTGGTGCATGAGTTGGAGTTCAGTAGGAGCATCAGTGGGTTGTGCTGTGGGTTTATGGGTTGGTTTTTCGGTAGGTGCCTCTGTAGGTTTTTGAGTTGGTTTATGTGTTGGCCTGTGTGTTGGTTCATGTGTTGGAGTTTCAGTAGGAGCATCAGTAGGACTAGCTGTGGGTTTATGAGTTGGTTTTACAGTGGGTGCCTCAGTGGGCTTATGTGTTGGCGGGTGAGTTGGTTTATGAGTAGGAATTTCAGTAGGCATCTCAGTAGGCTTATGTGTTGGTGGGTGAGTTGGTTTATGGGTAGGAATTTCAGTAGGCTCTTCAGTTGGTGCTATAGTAGGCTCTGCAGTGGGTTTGTCAGTTGGCGCCTCTGTGGGTTTCTCAGTAGGTTTTTGGGTTGGTTTTGATGTAGGCGCTGGAGTGGGATCAGGATATCCGGGTCCAACTGGTGGATACGGATGAGGCCTCCACAGATCTTCGGTTACACATACCTAAAAAAAAATTACAGTTAATTAAATGTGAGGTATGAAATTGTAATAAATATCAACAAATTGTAAGGTAAACTAATTTAATGTAAAATCTATTTTCTTAATGTTGCAATAATTTATCTTAAAGCTTCCTAATATCAGTTTCATTTCTCGAAATAATACCTGGTAGTCGAATTTGAAGAATGTTCCAGGAGCACATGGCATCCTGGTAGCACGTTCGTTTAGTTGGGTGCATTGGAAGAACCAGCGATTGTCAGAATAATCAGGCCAGAGTTTCACCAGATGGCTCACCTTTGAGCAAACTGGTGCAACTACATAAGAAGATGCTGTTGCGACGCCACAAAACAGTGACGCCACAAGCACCACGGTGCCAATGGCAGCTGTAGGTAATAAAAATAAAGTTAATAAATCAAAAAAAGATATAGATACTTTATATTTAGAATAATATTTTTCTTCTTATGCAATTGATAAATTTTTTATGCAAGTAGTAAAAGCGCATTATATATAACTGTTCGAAAAAATCAGAACGAGAATGCGCTTTGGTTGTTGGTAAAGTATGATTTTCTGCAAATTCGACTATTTTCTGTGATTTTTTTTTCAAAAATAGAAACAAAAAAACTAGTTATTTTTAGAGGATTATTTTAGCAATATAAAGTATAATCAAATAAAAATTATTTGATATTGAAATTTATTGTTATTTATTTATTATTGGCATTTTTTGTCCTCGAAATCATTACTAATTATCAATATTGTTTTGCTGCAGAACTATTTGCATCAAATTTAATTATCCCGCCGCATGACAAAAACACTTTTGCCTGATGGTAATAAATTTCACAACAGAAGTCGCCACTTTTAAATTTACACGAACAAAGAATCCGCACATGTAAAATACTTCTGTTAAGATGTAAAAGTGGCGAACATGGTGTTAGAAGGTTAGTTCTTCGAAAGACGTGAAGGTCTCACCTTCTGACTCTCCGGAAGAGTTAGGACCAAGGAGTGATAAACATTCATATTTTGGAAGATGAAAAAGTGTTTAGTGTTTATTGAGTAAAATTTGAGAAACTTGAATTAAGACAAAAGTGTTGTGGAATTAGTGCCAACGACACTGGATCCAGCAGGAGGAGGATAAAAGGTAACAGAGATTTACCCAAAAACATTTCAGATTTGGGATGTTTTTATCATAGTAAACAACAGTATTGCGGTTTACATTATTTTTGTATTCGAAATTTTTACACTTGGGTATTAAGCCCTTTATGATTAACATAAAGTAATATAAATAATATATGTATGTAATAAAATAATAAAATGTTGAACAATTTTTCATCAAAACATTTATTTACATGTAAAGCGAATGAGGTTTGCCATACTAAACAATTTCCGGTAAAAAATTGACGAAAGTCCTTATTTGGTGTATTTCTTTGTTAAAAACAATTACATTGTATTGGGTATATGTTTTTCAATGTATTAATAGGGGGTCAAATGGCAAA